CCTCTTCAAAGAGAACTACAACCACTGCTCAACGAAATAAGAGAGGACACAAACAGATGAAGAAACATTCCATGCTCATGGTTAGGAAGAATCGATATTGTGAAAATGGCCATACTGCCCAAAGTAATTTACAGATTCAATGCTATCCCCATCCAGCTACCAATGACCTTCATCACAGAACTGGAAAAATCCACGTTAAACTTCATATGGAACCAAAAGAGAGCCCACATAGCCAAGTCAATTTTAAGCAAAAAGAACAAAGCTGGAGGCATCATACTACCGGACTTCAAACTATACTACAAGGATACAGTAATCAAAACAGCATGATACTGGTACCAAAATAGAGATATAGACCAATGGAACAGCACAGAGGCCTCAGAGGCAACACCACACATCTACAACCATCTGATCTTTGACAAACCTGACAAAAACAAGCAATGGGGAAAGGATTCCCTGTTTAATAAATGGTGTTGGGAAAACTCATTAGCCATGTGCAGAAAGCAGAAACTGGACCCCTTCCTGATACCTTACACTAAAATTAACTCCAGATGCATTAAAGACTTAAACATAAGACCCAACACCATAAAAACCCTAGAAGAAAATCTAGGCAAAACCATTCAGGACATAGGCCTAGACAAGGACTTCATGACCAAAACACCAAAAGCATTGGCAACAAAAGCCAAAATAGACAAATGGGACCTAATCAAACTCCACAGCTTCTGCACAGCAAAAGAAACAGTCATTAGAGTGAATCGGCAACCAACAGAATGGGAGAAAATTTTTACGATCTATCCATCTGACAAAGGGCTGATATCCAGAATTTACGAAGAACTAAAACAGATTTACAAGAAAAAAACTAACAAGCTCATTTAAAAGTGGGCAAAGGATATGAACAGACACTTTACAAAAGAAGACATACATGAGGCCAACAAACACATGAAAAAATGCTCATCATCACTGGTCATTAGAGAAATGCAAATCAAAACTACAACACGCCAGTTAGAATGGCGATCATTAAAAAATCTGGAGACAACAGATGCTGGAGAGGATGTGGAGAAATAGGAACACTTTTACACTGTTGGTGGAGTGTAAATTAGTTCAATCACTGTGAAAGACAGTGTGGTGATTCCTCAAGGGCCTAGAAATAGAAATTCCATTTGACCCAGCAATCCCATTACTGGGTATATATCCAAAGGATTATAAATCATTCTACTATAAGGACACACGCACACGAATGTTCATTGCAGCACAGTTTACAATAGCAAAAACCCGGAACCAACCCAAATGCCCACCGATGATAGACTGGACATGGAAAATGTGGCACATATACACCATGGAATACTATGCAGCCATAAAAAACAGTGAGTTCATGTCCTTCATTGGAACACGGATGAGCCTGGAAACCATTATTCTCAGCAAACTGACACAAGAATAGAAAATGAAACACCACATGTTCTCACTCATAGGTGGGTGTTGAACAATGAGAACACATGGACACAGGGAGGGGAGCATCACACACTGGGGTCTGTTGAGGGGAAATAGGGAAGGGACAGCAGGGGGTGGGGAATTGGGGAGAGATAGCATGGGGAGAAATGCCAGATATAGGTGATGGGGAGGAAGGCAGCAAATCACACTGCCATGTGTGTACCTATGCAACAATCTTGCATGTTCTTCACATGTATCCCAAAACCTAAAATGTAATTAAAAAAAAAAAAGAAGTTAAAGAATTTACATAACCTTGGGGTAATGAAAAATGTTTTAGGCAGTACTGAAAAGGCAGGAAAAAAAACCTGTAAAACATTGAATTTGTAAATCAAAACATACAGCAAAACTGAAATGCGAAAATTAGAAAAAATATCTGTAACATATCAAAAGGTAAAAACCTCATATATAAGGATCTCTTAACAGATCACCTTGAAAACTGCAATACCCCATAAAAGGGAGATGGGTGGTGAGTGGGAAAGTCACGGAAACTGATAGGTCTATGAGGAGAAAGGGACATATTCATAATCACAGGTAAAGATTTTAAAACTCTTTCAATATTCAAAAGTATAACATTTAAAAAAAATAAGAATATCCAGGAAGGATTTTCTTTATGAGCTATAAATACTACTAAGTATAGTAATTAGAACAGCATGGTATTAGACATAGACAGACAAGTAAACCAGAGGAACAAGAAATAGAACCAAGTATACAGGGGAACTGGTTTACCAAAGCTAGCATTACAAATCAGTAACAGAAGGTTTTTCAATGAACAATGCTGGACTTACTGGTTTTAAGCATGGAAAAAGACAAAATTAGTTTTCCTATTTCTACCATATACAAAAATAAATACCCATAAAACAAAATTGAACATTTTGGAATAAAATAAAGATTATCTTTCTGACACTGGGATAAAGTAGGTAGAGAATTAACAAAAAACAATGTTAAAAAAAAATCGAAAATCCATATTCCTAAGACACCAGAAAATAAAATAAGCCAAAGGTTGGAAGAACCAATTTCTTCTCACTGATTTGCAATGCTACTTCTGTCATATATTAGCACCTAAAATATATGAAGAATCCACCAAATCAAGAGAAAAGCCCAATCTCAAAAAATAGGCAAAGGGTATCAACAGGTAACTCAAAAGAAGAAACTTGAATAGCTAACACACATGAAATGCTGAAACTCATATTTATCACTCAAGAGAAATGAAAAATTTAAAACATCAATTTGCATCCATCAGACTGACAAAAATTAACAAGTCTGATAACTCAACTGTTGGCATCTCCTAGTAAAGCTAAACATGTGATGATTTAAGATCTACTAATTGTTCTTCCAGTTATTTCCCTAAACCAGCTCTCAAGATGAACATTAGGAATCAATAAAAGAATGATTACTGCAACTGTTACTAATGGCAAAAAAATAAACTGTTAAGTTTATTCACACAATGGACTTACTGCTCCACAGTAGTTGAAATGAATAAACATTATTCATATATATTAACATAGATTAATACCAAAATACAATGTGAACATTAAAAAAATTAGACTACATAAGAAAAGGTACAACAATAAAATATACATATTGCTTTATATACATATGTATATATGTCTCTATGTATACACACATCTACACAAACATTGAAATCATTCACACCAATTTCAAGATATAGTGGTTACTTCTAGGGGAGAAAGAGAATAAAAGGGGTTTCTTTTTTTGTTGTTGTTTTCTTTTTTGAGACAGAGTCTCCCTCTTTTGCCCAGGCTGGAGTGCAATGGCACGATCTCAACTCACAGCAACCTCTGCCTCCTGGGTTCAAGATTCTCTTGCCTCAGCCTCACAAGTACTGGGATTAAAAGTGCCCACCACCATGCCCAGCTAATTTTTTGTATTTTTAGTAGAGATGGGGTTTCACCATGCTGGCCAGGCTGGTCTTGAACTCCTGACCTCAGGTGATCCACCCACCTCGGCCTCCCAAAGTGCAGGGATTACAGGTGTGAGCCACTGCACCTGGCCGAAAATAAAGGGCTTAAACTGAATATGCAGTACTTTTTTTTGTTTTGTTTTGTTTTTGAGATGGAGTTTCGCTCTTGTTACCCAGGCTGGAGTGCAATGGCACGATCTCGGCTCACCGCGCAACCTCTGCCTCCTGGGTTCAGGCAATTCTCCTGCCTCAGCCTCCTGAGTCGCTGGGACTACAGGCATGTACCACCATGCCCAGCTAATTTTTTGTATTTTTAGTAGAGACGGGGTTTCACCATGTTGACCAGGATGGTCTCGATCTCTTGACCTCGTGATCCACCCGCCTCGGCCTCCCACAGTGCTGAGATTACAGGCTTGAGCCACCGCGCCCGGCCCAGTACTTTTCATTTCTTAAAAAATAAAAGATACTACACACCTCAAAAGGATGGTTAAATGAAAACGAGCAATATTAAGTGCTGATAACCATGTGGAACAACTAGAATGCACATACTCTGCTGCTAGGAATGTAACTGGTGCAATGGCTCTAGAAACCTCTTTGGCAACATCAACCAAAAGTGAATATGTATCTATCCTATGATAAAACAAGTCTACTTGTATGTATATATCCAAAAGAAATGCATATATTGTTCACCAAAAGGCATTAAAAAAGTGTACATAGCAGCATTATTCAGACAGCTAAAAACTGGAAACTATCCAAATATTCATCTTCAGGAGACTAAACTGGTATATTAACAAAATGAAAGATTATGTAACAATGAAAATGAATAAACTACCATGACATGCAACAACATGCATATATCTCACAGCTGATGCTCAGTGAAGGAAGCCAGATACAAGGGTATATGCAACACAATTCCATTTATAGACAGTCCAAGAACCATCAAAACTTAGTGCTCTAAGTTAGGATAACGTTATTCTTGGGAGGAGGGAGGGGTTGAAAGAGGGGGCATAAGAGTTCTTCTAGGGGTGCTGGTGAGGCTGTTTTCTTGATTTGGACAATAGTTACATGAATGTGCTAAATTTGTGAAAATTCATACAACTGTATAATTATGAGTTTTATATTGTAAGAAAAAGAAAGAAACAAAAAGAGGCAAACAAAGCAAAATAGGAGTATATATCTAATCTCAGTGACGGATACATGAATGTTATTTTCTGGACTTCTGTATATACTTAAAACGCTTTAGAATTTTTAAAAAATTAAAAAATAAAGGTGCACAGGCACTTCTAATATTCTTTGCTAAGCACTGCATAATTATAAATTTTATATTTTAAGAAAAAGAAAGGAAGAAAGAGAAAGAAAAGAGGTAAACAAAGCAAAATATGAGTATGTGTCTAATCTCACTGATAGATATACGAATGTTATTTTATTTTTTGGACTTCCCTATATATTTATAATGCTTGAGAATTTTTTTAAAAATTAAAAAATAAAGGCGCACAGGCACTTGTAATATTCTTTCTTAAGCACTGAAAAGTATCATTTCTTTGTTGTCCTGCTAGGCTATCATTTCTGAAGACTTCCCATCTATCTGACTCACCTGAATAGCTGTTTTTAGGGGCTTTTCTCTCAAGCTTCAATGGTTCTTTTCCATTCTCCAAGGTGTAGTTCTCAGGTTTGGAAACTGGAAGCCCTATTCATTAAAAAAAAGAAAAAGAAAGAAGAAAGTAATAGGAGTAAGTTATTTGTGGACTTTTTCTTCCAGTAGGTCGAATTGTTAGATATTCCTTAGTGAATTCCAACTTTCTTTATTTTCTTAATTTATAAAAATTTATTTTTTTATTTCTAAAGTTAATGGGGACTAACTATAGTGCCCACGCAGGTCTTGAACTTCTGGGCTCAAGGTATCCTCCCACCTCTGCCTCCCTAAATTCTGGGATTACAGGCGTGAGCCACCATGCCCAACTTTCATGGTCCCTGACCTGCTGGACTTAGTTATTTGTAATGGGTATAAAGATCTAAACCAGAATATGGTCTCAACCTCTTGATCTACAAAAACAAAGTATTACAGGAAAAGCTGAAGTAAGGGAGGATGGACCTCTAAATGAGTATCTGCAGTAAGTGTCTGGGCCTGGTAACGAGTTCAACTAGATTTGTAAATACAAATATTTTCAACCATCAGAAAAGAAAGGAATTTCTCTTTATTTCCTTATTATGTAAGGAACCTTCAGAAAGATGTTGAAAAGTAGTCCTTACCCCAGGAAAGGAGGAAAAAGTGGGACCTCAGTGGCAGCACCACACAATTGTAATGGTGGTAACTTAAGTTTTTATCTTCTAATATTTTCCCTTTCCTCCTTCTTCGGTTACTAGAAGTCACTTTCTTAGGGGATTTTTTTACATGAGGTTTGGGAGGGGCTAACCGTCCCCACCACCCATCATACAAACATATGCATGCATGTGTGTACCAGCAGGCACGCTGGTAGGCCCAGGATCTAAAACTGGCCACAGAGTACTCAATCTTTCTGGCTCTGTTTCACTGATGGGCATCTGACTTTATTTGCTGAAACTCCCAGGACAGAAGTAGTTTCTTTTTTAGCTTAGCTATCTAACTGGAAGAATAACAAAACCCTGGGCTGCCACTGGTCATCTGTGCCACATGGGATAATCCTAAGAATAAAGCTAATACAGGGCCGGGCGTGGTGGCTCACGCCTGTAATCCAAGCACTTTGGAGGCTAAGGCGGGCAGATCACCTGAGGTTGGGAGTCCAAGAATAAAGCTAATACAGAGCAAAACCAAGCCAATTGGTCAAAAATAAATCAATTAAGAAATAAAGGAAATTCCTGATAATATATTTGGATCCTTGAAAAATCACGATTTTTTTCCCCTTTAAGAGTGTGAGTTAAGTTTCTGTCACTTAAATCCAAAGAATCCTGATACAAGACAAGCATAGACATTTCATCAAGAATCTAGAGCAGGAACAGATTTTCAACATAGGCCAAAAAGAATTAACACTTTTTGACTCCTGAATGCAAAGGTGAAGGCTTTGTTAAGCTATTTCACTGTCATTAAACCAATGATGTTCCCATAAGCAGATTCCAGAGTCACAATGAGAATCCATTCTTACATAGTGAGACCAGGTTCCTATAGTTCTCCAGCATCACATCCCTTTGTGCAGGATCCAGCTTCCCCCACTCCTCTGGTGTAAAGTCCATGGCCACATCCTTGAATGTCACTGTCTCCTAAGACATAAAACATTTTTTTCAACATTTTTCCCTTGTAACCTCTCTTTCTTCTCCCAATTTCTGCTGGCCCTGGAGCAAAAGCCTGAGATGCACTTAACAGGGGAACTGACTATGACAAATAACAAGTATTCTAATGCTGTTCAGATTCAGAATATTTTATATAAAGGATCGCTATCATTTATGTGCCAGATACACTATGCTAGATTCAATATGAGAACCGGAAGATGACCCTGGTTTCTCCATTGAGACACTACAATTTTTCTGGGGAATAAAGTATTAAAATATGAACCAATGAGTCAACAATATAGTTTGATTAAAGTAAAATATAAGCAGAGGGAAAAAAGGTCATGTCTACATAATGCTTCTCTGAGTCAATAAATATTGCAGAGTCAATCTAGCCAATCACTAGATGAAATGCAATACAGAACTTGTAAATGGAGAAGTCATGAAATGAAAAAACAGCAAAAAGCAACCAGTTAAACATGAATTAATTCAAGGCAAAAAGCATTACATTGGAAACAGCTCCAATTTATGAGATACAACTCATAAATATTTATGTATAAAAGATAATAAGATTATACCTCTATAAGACAAAAAAATACAAAAACCATAAGGAGATAGGTATATATCTGCATTGAACCGGCAGCTTTAAGTAAACCCATAGACAACAGGAATATTTTAAGGTTACTGAAATAAATATAAACCAAATGCTCTAACTGGATAGAAAACATCTTCTGTTTAAACATTCATGTAGCATTTGCAAAAGATAACAAAGTAAATTTCAGTATATCCCAAAACAAAAATAGAACAGAATAATTGATAACTGTAAAAATATATCAAAATATGAAAATAATGATGAAATAAAATAGAAAAAAAATGCTAAATGGCTAAAACTGTACTCAGAGGAAATTTCATAGCTTTAAACACTTCCATTAAATTTCTGAAAAACACAAATAAATGAACAGAGCACACAAATCAAGTTAGAACAAAAAACACAGGAAAACAGAAATATTTACAATATAAAAGCAGAAATTTTAAAAAGAGAAAATAAAACAGCTGGGAAACCTGATTAAGTTCAGTAAGTTATAATATTATACCAATGTGAATGTCCTGGTTTTGAAAAAAGAGTAATAAAGCAAAGTAAAATATAAATTTTTGCAAAATCTGGGTGAAACATATACAAATTTTTTGTGCTATTTGCAACACTTCTTATGAATAAAATTATTTCAAAGTAAACTACTATAGGGAAAATAATCTAAGATTTAAGATATAAGATAATTATTCCCTTAAGATAAAATAATATGTAAAAATTATTAAGTAGCCCCTAAGTAGAAATGACATTATGAGGAAGATGACCTTTAGCCTAGAATCTGCATATACATAACTAAATCAACCTTCATTGGGGATTAAGTGCTAAACAATCAGAAGAAAAAGCAAGAACAACAAAAATGCAAACCACTGCACAAACAGTAGGAAAATACAAAAGAGGAAACAAGAAAGCACAGGAAACAGAATTATAAAAATCACATGGCACGAAAAGTTTAAAACATATGTATTATATGTGAATGAGAAAGTTTCCCTTATAAAAAGGTTTTTTTGATTGTTTGTTTGTTTTTCAAGCCACATGCTATATACCAAATAGGCCATCCAAACTGCTAGGTTGGGTACTGGTGGGTAAATGAAAGGAAATATGGTATACCATATGTCTGAACGTAGTAGTGCAAGCACAAAAAAAAACATGGAAAAATATACGTCAAATGTTAGTAGGGAGAGGCAGGGACTGAAATTGAAGGGGAAGTAGCACTACCTTTTTTGGTTTTTTTTTTTTTTTTTTGAGATGGAGTCTCACTCTGCAGCCAGGCTGGAGTGCAGTGGCACAATTTCACCTCACTGCAACCTCCACCTGCTGGGTTCAAGTGATTCTCCTGCCTCAGCCTCCCAAGTAGCTAGAATTACAGGCACGCATCACCACGCCCAGCTAATTTTTGTATTTTTAGTAGAGATGGGGTTTCACCATGTTGGCCAGGATGGTCTCAATCTCCTGACCTCATGATCTGTCCAACTTGGCCTCCCAAAGTGCTGGGATTGAAGGCGTGAGCTACTGCGCCTGGTATATTAACTTTACATTTCTGTTTATCTGTGTTGTTCACTTCATTACAATGAGCAAGAATTAAAACTTTAATATTTTAAAAAATCTAATAAATCAAAGATAAAAAAATAGCCCAGGCAAATTCTAATAAGCAAAAAAGCTGCAATATTGCATTTTAAAAATCCAAACAGAACAAAGACAGCTTTTAAAATTTTCCATTAATAGATTCAATCACTTTGATGCTGTAACAGTGTTGAATCTAATATCAAAGTACTAAAATATAGGTTCACTTCTGGTACCTGTGCCCTAATTTTCCCCTAGCTACTACGCCTGGCTACTTTGAGTCTGTGTAGTTCAGGTAGTACTGACTCCAACTCTGACTCATGGGTGGGATGTGTGCATGCTCGTGTGTGTGTGTGTAGGGGTGTATGTGTGTGTGTTTGTGTAGGTATATTCTATAGAGAATTACACTTAGATTTGGCCAATAACTCATCCAGGAATGAGCCTAATATCCCATTAGAGTCAATCCCAGCACTTCTGCAAGAATGACTAGAAGAGAATCTGCCCTTTTTCTCTGGCCTTCAACACAGGAAAATGTTAAGCCTAAACTTTTGTTAGAGGCCAACACTAGGAGAAAAACCTGCTTGACAACAGACTCATGGAGAAAAAAGAAAAGGTCGGTAAATGAAGAAACAGGTTTTAACATTCTTGCTTGAGCCCTAGATATAGCCAGACCTAGATTTTTCAGTTTGTTCGACATTAGTTACTTCTTTTCACTTAGGCCTATTTGAATTGATTTCATTAGCTGCAACTTAAAGCTTCTTGAAGACTTTATTAGTCTTCAAGACTTCAAGTTGAGAAGCCAATGGAGACAGGCAAGTATATAAAGGATATTGAAAAGTCACTTTTACAAACACTACAAACATGCAGCATCTACTTTTTACACTTTGGATTATAGAAGCAAAGAGAAAGGCTGATTGAGGAATCTCTGGGTTGTGGTAAGCCATACATATCACGGAAAGTTCCTTTTTTCCTACTCAACTTCTTTTCTTTTTTTTTTGAGACAGTCTCACTCTCACCCAGGCTGGAGTGTAGCAGCCCTATTTCAGCTCACTGAAACCTCTGCCTCCTGGATTCAAGTGATTCTCATGCCTCAGTCTCCACAGTAGCTGGGATTACAAGCATGCACCACCACGCCCAGCGAGTTTTTGTATTTTTAGTAGATATGAGGTTTCCCCATATTGGTCAGACTGGTCTTGAACTCCTGACCTCAGGTGATCTGCCTACCTCAGCCTCCCAAAGTATTGGGATTACAGGTGTGAGCCATTGTACCCAGCCCCAAATTCTTTTAATAAACTTTTCAAACATACAAAAGTTTAATGAAGAATATAAAAATCACTGATATAGCACGATCACCACCTAAATTAAAAATTCTTAACATTTGTCTATTTACCTTTTGGGAGAGAGGGGCTAACAATAGAAAAGTAAGTTACAGACATAATACCTTAGCTTCCATCATCTCAGAGGGCTGGATTCTAATTGTAATTCTTTCAATTATGCCTTCATAGGTTTTCCTTTTCCAGCATTTCTTTGAACTATGTGAGTACTTATTATTTTTACAATCACTTCAGCGTTTAAGTGCTTTCTTAAATTGCTAAAGTCACATACATCCTGTTTCATCTAGAGAAACAAGTTTTGAGAGGTATTACCACATTATATTTAAAATAGTTTCTCACATTACCAAGCACAGAAATGAGCATAGTAGGCTAAGAAAGGGAAATGTTGCTTACCTGATACCCTTCTGTTGAGGGGCAATAAACACTAAATGGGGAAGAAATCCATCCAGTGTTATAAGTAAGTAAAAAACATTTTCTTCTGAGTTCATTAGCCTCCTGAGTAGTCTCTTAGATTTAGAACTCAGCTCTGTAGATAGATTTTAGTGGATAAAGAAACTCCACATCAAAAAGAAGGGAGCACATTTGTACTCTAAGAAACAAGGTGTAATTCCAATAATCAACAGACTCACTCACCTGGGATCTGGCCGTGAGGCGCAGAGCAGCTACTTCTCCCTCTTCTGTACTCCTCTCTTGGAAATGGGGAGAATCCTGGGAAAACAGAGCTAACGGCAAGAAAGCAGTAATAATGAGGCCTAGACTTATCTAGCCACTCAGATAAAAAGTCTAAAAACTGCTCCAACATCCTGTATGTGCACCCCACAAACACTGAGACTGAAGGTAGCCTAAAACCAGCCTCCCCCTAGCACCCTCGTCCCAGGATGTACAGGAATACTGCTACTCCGGGCTCAAATTCAGTTGCTATAATCATAACACATTCTGGAAGATGGCATCCTCTGATCTAGAAATTAGAATATGTCAGTTAATTTCCCAGCTTAATCTATACTAAATAATTATCAGAGAAATAAGCTCAATTGTTCTCACCCTGAAAGCTTACTTATAATGTAGATTGCTGGACCCCACCACAAATTAATAAGCATTAGTTGGGCCTGGGGTACAATCTAGAAATCTAACAAACACCCCAGGAGGAATTCTGATATAGGAGGTCACAGCACAACCTTCATGAAAGTGGTCAGGTAGAATTGAAGTCAGTCACTGACTACTGTGCCTGTTTTCTTCTATGTAAAACAATATATTTTTGCCAACCAAAGAGCTGAATTCTCAGCCCCAATGGAGACTAGCATGAGATAATCATTTGGGAGGAAGAGTACATGAGAAAATGAATTAATTGAGGCTTTGTTGCTTATGCCGTAGAAGTTAACATTTCACTCACATTTTGGGGGTAGCTTTGAAGGGTCCACTGTGTGTCCAGCTGCCATGGAAAGGGCAATGCTCCCATACCAAGCCCTCTAGTCTCACTTAAAAAGCCCATCCAACCCCAAGACAATGGAGACAGCCAGCCAACTGCCACCTCCCCTGAGCCAACGGTTTTCCCTTCAGAAGCAGAAATTTCGCCCTTTCACGCCCACAAGTTCAACATGTCCGCAATTCTCACCTCTTTTCTCAGACATTTCAGTCAACTCTGTCTCCATGATCACCACCTCCTCCTTGTTATGGAGATTCTGCTCTTCACCCCAATTCAGACCTCTCTGGCCAGACGAGTTAGAAGCCCGGGCCTCGTGGTCCCACTTCCTGGCTTCCCTCCTGGGCTCTGATGAAAGGCCTGGGTCAGATTGGGTCGGGTTTCTTCCTCACGGTGGAATCTGCCTCGGTCCTACGGAGCTGGACCCTGGAAGCCCGGGACAGCATCCCTGAGTCTGGGTCCTCAGATGTCTGTCCCCACCGCTTGGAGATGTCCCTACCGCTTGGAGCTGTCACTGTGGGGACCGGGCGCCTGGAAGAGGTGGCGCTGGGGCATCGGGAGCATGGACAAATTCCGCCGTGCTGAGGGTACTGGCCCAGGACCCCGCGACCGCCCCGCCCGTCGCACAACGGCGTCCCCGGAGGAGAGGATCAGGTTAGAGAGAGAAGGGACGGCGCTCATGGTATGCCCTCGAGGCCCCTTTAACAAACGCGCACTCCAGCACAGACCCGGCGCAGAACGACCCGAGGAACCATCGCAGAGGCCGAGCGGAGATGAGCGACATCACCGCGACTAACTCACCTCCCATCCCCGGCTTCACAAAGGGTATGAACTTCTTGGGCCAGCTTGGAGTCGCGCATGCGTAAGAAGGAGCGGAACCAGGCGGGTTGCCCTCATTCTGCCCAGAACTACAATTCCCAGAAGCCCCTGGGCATCACCAGACTCCAGTTCTCCGCAGGTGGGAGCACCCGTGGTGCTGCTGGGAGAAGCGAAGGATGTAAGAGCTCTGTCCGTCTCGCGAAAGTATGATGCAACATCTCCTGTGTCTGATCCCGCCCCTCCTTCCCCCGCCACCCCCACCCAACCCCGGTCCGGGGAAGGAGGGAGCATCGGAGAGGCAGATCCGAGTCCGGTCTGTCCCCGCGCTTTGTCTGCACAAGGTCCTGCGGCACAGTGCTTAAGACTGCAGAGTTCGACCGGGCGCCGTGGCTCACGCCTGTAATCCCAGCACTTTGGGAGGCTGAAGCGGGCGGATCACCTAAGGTTGGGAGTTCGAGACCAGCCTGACCAACATGGAGACACTGTCTCTACTAAAAATACAAATTTAGCCGGGCGTGGTGACGCATGCCTGTAATCCCAGCTACTCAGGAGGCTTCTGAAGCAGGAGAATCGCTTGAATCCGGGAGTCGGAGGTTGCGGTGAGCCGAGATCACTCCATTCATTGCACTCCAGCCTTGGCTACAGGAGCGAAACCCCGTCTCAAAAAAAAAAGGCTGCTGAGTTCAACCCAAATTACTCCAGTGTAAGATACATTAAAATACATAGTTTTTATCCATATTTTGTCCTCCCAGAACTCATCGTTTGCTTTCAAAACATATGACAGATATTTTTAGGAAGAGCAGGTCCCTCTTTGTACGCTCAGTCTGATGTTCCTGGATCCACAGACTATTTGTAATCCTAAAAATTCATGTATTTAAAATGAGTTGAAAAGGTTGATGCTGTTTTAACAAATTTGAGCAACAGGTTCTTTGCAGACATAAAAATGAGTTTAAATGTATCATAAAAAGTGGTTCTTTCAAGAGATCGTGATATAGTCTCTCCAATTCTGACAGGGGACTAACCCATCCACCTCCAGCTTCGTGTCTAGACTGCCCTCCTTTTCTCAGTGAATGAGTTAACTGCCAACTCACTCATTTGCACAAGCTAGAACCTGAATATTCTTAACTCTTTAATCTCATCGTCTATTTATCACCAAGTCCTATTCATTGTATCTTAAGTAACCCCAATTTTTCCATCTTTCTCTATTCCCAGTAGCATTACTTTAGTTGGGGCCACCACCATTTCACTAGGATTGCCGTCTCAGCCTGATAACTGGATTCCCTAACTAGGGTTTTTTCTACCACCAATCTGTTCTCAACACTTTCTGGCTAGTGCTCATTCTAAAACAAGCATATGCTATTACTTTACTGCTTAAAACCATTTAGTGGCTTTTAGAAACGTCAGGAAAAGACAATTTCCAGTTCCCAAAAGGGATTTGTTACTCTCATTATTTGAGACTCCTGGTAGTTACACCCTTGTGCAATCCCCTCCTCTTGTATATGGACTGGGACTCACTTGTAACCAATACAATACAATAAAGGTGACATAAAAGTCTAATGTGTGTCTTGCTAGGAGACTCCTCTCTTGCTGGCTTTGATGAAGTGGTGGTGATGTTGTGGAGGCCCATATGCCGAAAGAACTGAGGATGGCCTCCAACCAAGAGCCTGCAAGAATGGAAGGCCCTTAGTTCCACAACCTGCAAGGAGCTGAACCCTTTGGACAGCTCTGTGTGCTTGAAATTATTCCTTGTAGAGTCTTCCCATGAGAACCCTGTCTTGCCTGACATCTTGATAGCAGGCTGCAAAGGACTCAGTTAAGCTGTGCCCCGACTCTCACTCATACGAACTATGAGATAATAAACTTGTGTTATTTGAACCACTAAGTATGTGGCAATATCGTTATGCAGGGAAATTTACCTAATATAACTTTCTAACATAAAAGGATCTTTGTCAAAATCCAATCTGTAGATTCTCTGGAAGTGGGAAAATTGTTGGATTGAGCAACTCTACATTTGGTCCTAAGAAGTGTGTGGCCTGTATATATACTTTTAAAAAGCTATCCTAAGAATGATAAAGGAGGATGCTTGAAATATCAAGCAAAAACTTGTCATAAAAATAAAAACAACAAAACCGTGTGTCAAAATATAATGGTTAATACTAGGTTGAATGGCAGAATATGTAAAATTGAAGAGTGAATATCTAGAATATTCTAGTGAAGCTAGAATATCAGGCCAGGGAAATCTACACTTCCATAAAATATCAGGGAAAAAAGTTGAAAAATATGAAAGAAATGTTAAGCAGTATGGAGACTGACTAGATTTTATATAATGAGAACCAAGAACGAAAGAAAAACAGAGGAGGTACTATTTTAAGAAACAATAATCAAGAATTATGGAAAAATTAAAAATTAAAGACTTCAGATTGAAAGTATGCATAGAGGCGAGGCGCGGTGGCTCACGCCTGTAATCCTAGCACTTTGGGAGGCCGAGGCGGGTGGATCACGAGGTCAAGAGATTGAAACCATCCATGGTCAACATGGTGAAACCCCGTCTCTACTAAAAATACAAAAAATTAGCTGGGCATGGTGGCGCATGCCTGTAATCCCAGCCACTCAGGAGGCTGAGGCAGGAGAGTTGCCTGAACCCAGGAGGTGGAGGTTGTGGTGAGCCAAGATCACGCCATTGCACTCCAGCCTGGGTAACAAGAGTGAAACTCCATCTCCAGAAAAAAAGAGAAAGTATGCATAGACAGTCAAACAAATTATGAATAGACACCACATATTACAATGAAATCTATTAAAGAAGAAATTCTAATGCCTTCCAGAAGCAAAAGAAAAACAAAAGAAAAAAAAATCACAAAGAAAAATCCTCAGTGTTAAAAACAGCGGTTGGCATTTTGTGGCTTCTCAACAAATAATAAATAAATAAACCTGATTTGTCAATAGCAGGACTGATTACAAGAAGAAAATGTAATACTGATAAATAATATTTGTACGTGTTTATGGGGTACATGTGATATTCCGATACATGCATAAGATGTGTAATAATGAAGTCGGTATTTAGGATATGCATCACCTTCAACATTTATCATTTCTTTGTGCTGGGGAAATTTGAAATGTTCTTCATGCATAGGATATGTAATAATCAAGTCAGGGTATTTATAATATCCATTACCTTCAATATTTTTCATTTCTTTGTGTTGGAAAAATTTGAAACGTTCTTTTCTATATGATTTTGAAATATATGATATATTGTTGTTAACTGTGCTATCAAAAAAACTAATAAGTGAAAAAAAAACAAAGTGCAGCAATATTTTTTTAATAAAACATACATTGGGATTCAAGCAAAACAAAAATATTAAAATCCAAGTTATTACAAAATGTATACCAGCCTAATATGAACAAAAATAGCCAGATAACAATGTTATTATTAATAAAATTAAGCTCAAGATTTAAAAAATCATAATGAACAAAAAATCGACATTATATTGTAAAACTTGAGGAGAGGTATGGCCTACTGTATTTAAGTATATTTTAAATTTTTCTATTATTTCTTCCTTCCTTCCTGATACTCCATGATACTTTCATTTATTATGTTTTTTGTTTAGAGAACTTCCTTTAGTCATTCCTTAAGGCTAAATCTGTAGCAACAAATTCTTTTAGTTTACATACATTTGAGAATGATTTGATTTCCTCTTCATTTCTGAAGGATAATTAACTGGATACAATTCACAGTTTGCAGTTCCTTTTTTTTCCTTCAAGTTGACAGCACTTGAAAAATATGCTATTTGTTTCTGGCTTTCATGATTTCAAACACGAAACCTGATGTCATGGAATTGGTGTTTCCCAGATGTAATGGAAACATTTCTCTCTGCTGCTGTTAGTAACTTTTTAATCTTTCAAAAGTTTGCAGCATTTTAATTATGATGTATCTTGTTAGGAATTTATTTGACTTTATTTGGGGTTTGTTCAGCTTCTTGAATCTGTAAGTACATGTCTTTCATAGTTTGGAAAATAATCGAAATTTGGGAAATTATCTTCTACTATCTCTCTTTCTTTTTGAGATGGAGTCTCACTCTGTTGTGAGGCTGGAGTACAGTGGCACGAAATCGGCTCACTGCACCCTCTGCCTCCCCCGTTTAAGTGATTCTCTTGCCTCAGCCTCCCCAGTAGCTGGGACTATAGGCATGTGCCAGCATGCCCAGATAAGTCTTTGTGTTTTTCGTAGAGACGGGGTTTCACCATGTTAGCCAGGATGGTCTTGATCTCCTGACCTCGTGATCCACCCACCTTGGCCTCCCAAAGTGCTGGGATTACAGTTTTCAGTCACTGTGGACAGCCTACTATTTCTTTAAATACTCTCAGTCCCACCCGTTTTTTCTGTCCTGAGACTCTGATGTTAAGATTGCTGGATCTTTTGTCATTGTCCCAAAGAAAGGCCCATGAGGCTGTGTTCATTTATTTTTAGTCCATTTTCTTTTTGTTGTTCAGATTGGGTAAATTCTAGTGATCTCCCCTCAAGTTCTTTGGTTCTATTATTTGTCATCTCCACTCTACTATCAAGTCCATCCAATGAGTTTAAAATATTTTAGTAATTGTATATTACTAAATAATATACATTGTATATTACTAAATAATATAATTTTCATTTGGTTCTTTTTTGTAACATTTCCCTCCCCTCCCTTCCCCTTCCCTTCCCTTCCCTTTCCTCCCATGTTCAAGGGATTCTCCTGCCTCAGCCTCCCGTAGCTGGTATTACAGGTGTGTGCTGTCAAGCCCAGATAATTTTTTGGGGTTATTTTTTTGTTTATTATTATTATTATTGAGACAGAGTCTCACTCTGTCACCCAAGCAGGAGTGCAGATATTTTATTTTTTATTTTTTCATCTGTTTTAAGAACATTTGTAATTTCTTATTGAAACTGTTTTTTATGATGGTTGCTTTAAATCCTGGTAAGATGATTTCAGAATCTGATTCTTCTCAGTATAAGCATTAGTTGATTGTTTTTTTGTCTTTCAAGTTGTGATCTTCCTATTTCTTGGTGTGATGGGTGATTCTGGATTGAATTCTGGATATTAAAAGACTCTGGAGTCTATTTAAATCTTTAATTTTAGAAGATTTATTTAGGTTTAGAATATAGTATCAAGGCCTTGGTCTACTTTTTGTGGTGGGCTGTGCTTC